CGGTAATCAACGCGTTTAAAACTAACCCGTATTCATCAATTAGATTTCTACGCATAAATACCATTTCCAAATCTACGCATATTTACTCTTTACAAATCAACGAGTTGTTGACGCATGAAAATGTGCGCTTTTCCCGATTTTTATCTACGTTAACTTTTCTACGCAGATTAATGCTTTCAAAACCTAACCGTTTTCATCTGTTCGAAAACAACATCTTTTTACCCTTGATGAATCCACGCATTCTTGACGACTCAAAATGCGCACTTTCCGATTTTCATCAACGTTAACCATTCTACGCCGAATAACATATTGGCATACGTTACCAACCTGGGTAACTATTAAGACGATACCGGTTTGGGAATTCGTTTACATGTCACCCACTTGGGGATACCAAGTTGGTAACGTGTAAACAGATACCCAGGTGGGTAATGTATAAACACATACCCAAACGGGTAACGCTTCAACAGATACCCAAGTGGGTAACATATAAACAGACACCCAGGTCGGTAAGGTATGAACAGATACCCAAGTTGGTGACATATAAACAAATACCCAAACGCGTAACGTATAAACAGATACACAGCTGTAAAATGTATGAACAGATACCCAATTGGGTATCATATAAAAAAATACCCAAAATGGGTAACGTGTAAACAGATACCCACGTGCGTAACATATGAATAGATACTCCAAGGGTTAACGTATGAACTGATAACCGATTTGGACTCAGCGATCCCGATAAGCTATAGGAAAGTTTGACCAGAATTGTGATTGGAGGTGAAATAAAAAGTCTACCTTGTGAATTTTTGACTCTAGTTCGACCGATTTTCTCAGCCATGAAAACTCAGAGGGAAAAACTGATAACGGATTTGGACTCAGCGACCCCGATAAGCTACAGGAACGTTTGACATAGATAATAAACTGGTGAAGAGTTAATTGCAAAAACTATGAATGCTTCGCATAGTCTAGGCAACGAACACTGGTTCCGTGGACATTTTACGAAATCTTTTTTAACTCAATAAAACATATTCATAGTTGAACGGGTGAATACGAATTGAATTTGTTTGAATCGCATCGAAAAACGAAATATTTTCTAATTGAATAAAACGTGTTCATAATTTAACGGGCTCATACGAGTTAAATTTATTTGAATTACATGGAAAAACGAAATGTTTTCTAACTCAACAAAACGTGTTCAAAATTGGACCCATTTTTCAACGTAAAATGGCATGAAGCAACGCAAATTAACGAAGATTTTCTTAGTGTGAAAAAATTCATCGATAAATATACGGTGGAAAACGGAGGAAGGGTTCGTGAAAACGGTGATTTATTCTTAAGGATGCGTAAAAACAGCGTTTTTACGCGTTTTTTTTTAGGGTCGTGTTTGTCTGGGAACTGTCTCAACATCAGCTAACGATGAAGAGCAGCAATTACAGGAGGAAGAGGACGAGAGTGACTTCGACTCTGCACTCACTGTTACTGAAGCTTATGATTTACTAGACGACGCTATGCGTCTTCTCGACGGTAGGATTCAGCAATTAAATCAATTGAAAACAGACTGACCTATCTATCGTGAGGAAAAGACAAATACAATCTGCTTGTACTCTACGTTTGCTTTTCAGCAATCGATTATTTTGTCAAGATTTAGATGAACAATAAAATGATAATTAATTGTATCGTGTGCCAAAAGAATAATTTTAAGAAATACAGATTTTAACTTTGCCAACGCGTTTCATGTTTTTTATTCAAAAATTAAAACATTCATCAGGGCTCTGCATTACATTCTTAGGCATACATTAAAAGATCAAGAGATGAGTAACTGGCAGTCATAATTAAACAGTATGACAGTTTTAAAACTAATACATTTAAAAAGAAATGGAAAAAGATAAGAATGAATCAAAAAAATGAATAAAACAAATTTCTTTTGCGCATATTTGCAAATTCTCAACAAGAACAATAAAAAATTGCTAAAGATCCAATGCACAAAAAGAAAGCTGTTGCAATTTAATACCATAGTAAGAAGTCTGTATTTTGTATATATAATCACCTTTTTTAATAATCTTTATTAATTATTGTATACATGAACAGCTTTTTCTAATCTTTATATATATATATCTTACATTCCAAATTTTTATCACCAATTAATTTCATATTAAGTAATTTAAATTGAATGTATAATAGTAATCGTGTATCAGCTTTTGTTACAAGCTTTTACCATCACATTTCTATCTTTTAATGACCAGCTTTTTCAACTTTTAATCCTTCATTTTAATTTGCTAAATTAATTTTTTACAATTATAATTGAATAAATTTTATTTATTGCGTATCAGCTGTTGTTGTAAATTTTTAACATTCCGAGTACCTAATACCGGCTTTATTTCATTTATTGGGGATTCAATAAAGTATTTGTTCCAAAGAGTATGAAATTTTTGCGGGAATGTTTTCATGTTTAAACAATAGGTAAAATAAACGAACATAGTTCTATTATAATTAATTATAATTTCTTCTTTTTTATTCATATAAATAATTTTTGCTCGCAATACATTATAATTTGTATTTGATACACTTTGATTCATATTGTAATTTTGAAATACATGGTTGAATTGTTTTTCTATAAATTTACCAGGGTATTTATTCAATAATAAGGCCATTCTTAATTTTTCTCGTTCATATATGTATACATTGAATGTTGAACAATATTTAATGGCACGAATCACCATAGCATATGGAATATTCTTTTTCATATGCATAGGATGTACACTATTAAATGGCAAATAATACGGTTCATAAGATGGTTTATGATAAACTTCTGTAAAAAATGCACCATTTTTGTTCTCTATATACAAATCGAGAAAATTTGTTTTATACCCAACTTCAGCTTTTAATTTTATGTTGAGATCGAATTTATTCCATCGGCCAATTTGCTTTTCTAAATATTGAGAAGGCCAGTTAATGGTAATAAATATATCATCAATATATCGTATGTAGAGTCGATTGCTATTGTTAATTTGCTTAACGATATCATGTTCAAAAAAGAACATATAAGCATTTGCAATTGTTAGAGTTAGCGGAGCACCCATCGTACCACCACGTATTTGATGATAATATTTACTGTCGTAAGAAAAATAATTATTATGCACTACGAATCGACATAAACGAATAACAGTTTCAATTTTTAAACCATTAATCTGCTTTATGTTCAAGTAATCCAGCATTTTCTTAATTGCCAAGATTCCTTCTGTTTGTGGTATCATCGTATATAAATCGATTACATCCATTGTACATATTAAAGTATCTTGACGTGCATTACTTTTTGACCATTCATATAACTGTTTAATTACTTCAGTTCCAGGAGTAACAGTTGTGCTTGATGCCATTCTATCAAATAGTGATCGAAGTAGTTCGTCGAGAAATCTCGATATTTTTATAGTTGGATGTTTGAGTCCAGATACAATTGGACGGAGTGGAGTGCCTGGCTTATGAGCCTTTGGTAAATAATATAAAATGTGCTAATTCCACTTCGTTTTGTTTTATACTCAATTGTTCATATTGGTTTTGTGTTATCCAATTATCTAATCTTAACTTTAACAAATATTTATTTGTACTTTCAATCAAATTTGGTAATGGATCATTTTGATGTAAACATTCATATGCTTCAGTCTTTTCCATATATTCTTCAGATTTTTTATGATAATCTTGTAATTTATCTAAATGAAAAACTTTAGATTTATCTGTTTTCTGTATAACTATATTCGTGGAACGAAGCTTGTGTTTTAACCGTTTGATCAATCTTCCATAATTTTTCTGTTTTCTCTGTTTATCAGTAGTAATTGGACATTTAGTAAGTTGATATTGATTAAAAT